GAAGAAAGGTATACCTGTATACACTGCAAATAGACTGCAACGTTGGGGAACTACACTCTTGGGTTATGACTTCAAGATGAAGTATCAGCCCACTACTGATTTTGGATGTAAATAATGTCAAGAATTAGATAACTTGTGATAAAAGCTTCCCAATGGTTTATGATAGAATTGAAAATGTAAACCATTTTATTTCAACTCATAGTGATGATGAGTCTAGAATTTAGAATAGACATCTGTTAAGTCTATCGAAGCGTCCAAGTCACCCGATTGAGATACGCGCAAAACCGAAGTTCGGAAACCAACGATTTGTCTACAATAGCGTTTCTTTATTAAATAATACACTGCTACTATGTTTAGTAGCATTCCAGAATCTTCTAGCAGCCCAAGGACATTTAAAATGTTATAAAAACCTTATATTTTCTGTATTGAAATGAATTTGAAGTAAAGTACTTCTCGCATACTTTGCACCTTCCCTCTCGTTGTTCACGTCACTGTATAGTTCAAGCTTGCGGGTTATAGAATAATTTAGGAAACGAATATAGCGTTCAATCTGCAAGACTTATCAGAATGGTTTATGAAAATCAGATATTGAATAGGAGTTATGTATTAATCGGGTAGCGAAAAGAGATAAGGTGAAGATAATTGTCCACCTTATAGGTAACAAGAACAAAGTAATTAGAAGGTGTCATAATAGTGAATTAATAGTTGTGAAAAAAATTGGAAAGGAGTACAAATAATCTTTTTTTCTTAAAAAACGAACAAACAATCGATTATGGAAGATTGAAAGGTAGGTCAAGATCATGGAAGAATGAAGGACTGAACAAACTGTTTCTTATATGCAAAGGAAAGATAAAAAATGAAGGGACATGAAGAATTCAGAAGATTAGAATTCTTCTCATGTCTATCTCCATTTTTCGGCGTAATGTGATGTTTGATCTTCATCTGCTCTTTTGACCTTAAGGATTCCACTATGCAGACTACTTGGTTGGGGTACGTGTGACTATCGTAACCAATGGTTGGAGACTCTTGGTGACATGGATCAGAATCGATCACAATGGCGTCGGTGTATACACACTCTGTCTTCTCTTAAACTAATCTCAGTCTCTGAGATTACGAATCATGATGTTTCAAACATACTGGGTTTATATACCAACCGAATAGTCCGCATCGTAACATAAAATAGCAAATAACATTTGTACAATATTTGACCAAATGTGGCTGTGAATGAGGGAGATAGTAATTAATAGAGAGGGCATAATTCAAGAATGATAAATCGCATAATAATCATTCATAAGTCAAAATGAAGCTCATAATAAGGGGAACACGAGTATGAATAGTTTAGTTATATAACAATTATACGATAAAAGTATACACATAGTATTGGTCCATAAATGGATCCCAAAAGTTACCATTCATTATGCTTATCGGGATATAACAGTTTCTATTTAAATGTCTTCACAGCTTATATTGTCTATAATATTCTACTTCTAAATTATTAATATAATGATCAATCATTTACTGTATTTCTCGTATATTGTATAACATTGTGCTTTATGCTACTTATATTGATAGATATTAGTAGTATATAACACCAATCAGTAATAGAATGCCTAATAGTGAAAAGGATTATGAAGACCAAATTAAAGAGAATAGAAAGTGAAACAGAGAAGAATTGAAATAACAAACAAAGTTGAGAAAAAAAGAATTATGTATAGGACAAGTGAAATAATGTATAGAAATAATGTATTTAATGTACCATAGCACTATGATTCATTGGTTTGCATCACTTGAGTTTGTAGTGACCTTGTCAATTATTCGCTTGTCAGTCTTGACTGTTTTTATATGAGCGTATATGTGTGTGCCCTTCTTATTCCATTAATCACATGTCTGTATCTTTATTTTGTCTGACTATAAATATTGAGTAACGCTTGACTAAAATGGAGTTGGCTTCCCAGCCATCCTCCCTGCGCGTCATTTCGCTTTGTTCTATCGCATTCAATTTACATACAAAATATATGTATTCTCGTTATTTGACTTATTTAATTCCGTTATTAACTAACGTGATTTAAGTCGACGATGATATACGAGAATAGGTGATAGCAAAAATCTCATACACTCTGAATGGAGTCACATTAACGGTTCACCACATTGGTAAGCCCGCCGACGACGAGCGCAACGCAGCAAGCTACGTCGGTGAAGGAACTTCTGCACTCTATACGTTCAACGAACAAATTCAGCGAAGCCAGCGCAATCTGCAATCCGACGCAATCAGCACAGCCTGTGCAACATGACATGGACATGCTCAAGTCGTATTATCTTATCGATACTTTGTACTCATGTCAACCATTCTCATTGATCCATTCGTCGGTTTGCTCTATTACGATTCAAATTATAATTATATGCTTATTATTACATTATTGCCAATATCATGACCGAATGTGGAATTATTAATCTTGTTCGTGCTGTCATTAAATTATGACATTTTCGCAATCATATCACTCACCGAACAAATTATCATTTTATGAAAATTCCACTCCACGTAATGACATCAAGAACTCATTGAGATATTTTTACTATTCGAAACGTGAAAATTTCCTGCTTTAAGTGAGTTCGTTCCAATTTTTTCATGTCATTTTGATCTAATATTGCATTCATTCACTTAGTCGAGGTCAGCAATTTATGTTATCACAACATACATTTTTCATTTCGAAATCGCCTACTATTATGTCTGTGGATGCTTCTAACCAGCTGACTAGAAAACATTACGTTCATTTTATCTATTCTTCCACGTGCATAACTACATGCTTCATCACTTATCACCAAAAACGTATTCAAGTACTGCAACTACTATTCTATACCCATCGCACTGTATATCAGAACATAGAGTTTAGAGCTAGTCTCTCAAAGATACACTCTTGTTCGTCACATCCAAGTCAGTCTCATACGTCGCTATCGCTAATCATATGTATTGGTATTTTTGTCATGCCTTGGTACGGTTTTGTAACAAGCGAGATCGAGCGCATCTCCCTCAAACCACACAAACCACTCTAGGCTTCATGACCAAAAAGTAATACGAATCTACGTACCTTGTCTACTCAGTCACTATTCTGTTCCTCTGGTCATTCTCCTACTAATACATATTTAACGATAACTCGGTGCATTTGTCATAACGCAGACGACAACGTCCACTGACTTCAAATTTTATGATTATTATCAATTGCAGTACAGCAACGAATATCACTCGCCGATGCAGTTATCATTTCACGACTTCACTATTATCATCCTACGAACGGGAACTACGCATTTGAATTCGAATTCACTCATCACTAGTCGATGCTATTTATTCTGCTGCGGCTCAACAGAACATATATTTCGCATATTTCACTATTCTATCAGCATCACAGACCAATTTCTGTCGTATTCTACTTTACTTATTTTCACGATTTATTTCCCTGTCATACCCACAAACAACTTATTACTATTTTCACGATGTTTTGAATCACTCATACAAACGTGTTATTTTATCGTTCAGACAGTCATAGCATTAGTACATGTTAATTTTTTTTGTACGCTCATTAATTTGCTCATATTGATATGCTAACATTTCCATTTTTATCCGCGCCTTTTCCATATTCATGTATTCTTTTACATAAGTATGACATTTTCATATGATACACTCACCCCTTATGTGACACTGCACTTTATCGAGTGTTGTACAATTTTTTTCGCTACTTATTGTTAACGTTAGCTTCATATCACTTCAGTGCTATTTTCGAAAACAGACATTTTTTTAAATGTGCTATTTTCTACGAGGGGGCTATGTAGTGTCAGTTATTATGCCAGGCCCATATACCTTATTTTAGCTTTCGGACATTCCATTCTATTCGTTCTACTTGAGTCATGTTTTGACCTTGTCAATTATTCGCTTGTCAGTCTTGACTGTTTTTATATGAGCGTATATGTGTGTGCCCTTCTTATTCCATTAATCACATGTCTGTATCTTTATTTTGTCTGACTATAAATATTGAGTAACGCTTGACTAAAATGGAGTTGGCTTCCCAGCCATCCTCCCTGCGCGTCATTTCGCTTTGTTCTATCGCATTCAATTTACATACAAAATATATGTATTCTCGTTATTTGACTTATTTAATTCCGTTATTAACTAACGTGATTTAAGTCGACGATGATATACGAGAATAGGTGATAGCAAAAATCTCATACACTCTGAATGGAGTCACATTAACGGTTCACCACAAGTTCTTATTTATAATCATATGCCTATAATAGTTGATTAGTGAAGATGCTATCATACTAAGATTGTTATTTTAATAAGTTATATATCCACTAGGTATTGTTTGGCTTTTATTTTCCCAATTGACCGAGTCCTAGAGTGAACATCCACTCTGAGATGCAGGTACATCCAGCTGACGATTCCCAAATAGGACGAAATGAGCGTCAAACTGGATCCCACTGCTTGCCACTATCTATATTGATTTGAAGTGAGTAGTTTAAGGAGGTTAATTATGAAATTATTTTAAAAGAATGAAAACGTGGTTATGGACACATTGAGCATATATATTTGAACAACACTTTAATTGATCATGAATCAATTGAAAGTAGAGCACCATGATAAACCTGAATGTATTGAAAGGCCGTTTCATCTTATTATAAGACTCCTAAACAGTACGTATCTATGATCCAGTTCAGTGCTTTCAGTTTTTCTGTGTTAAGTTTGTTTTACATTGTTCCTGCTCATTCCTTTTCTACACTTTGTATGTTGGTTTATACTACTTATTTATATTCAGTAAGCAGTTGTATGCCCAACAATTTTCAAACTTAAGTTGTAACTCAGGTTGTACTGTAACATTCTGAAATGTTCACTTATATCTTGAACGTTTATTTTACTTATCAATGTATTTGTCATTGTAATCACTGTAATTCAATTACTGTAACGGTTATCCACAGTTTTATGCATTTGTTTAAACGCAACAGTTTCCATATATTGTTTGCTCTTGATTCGAGTTTCGGTTGTTCATAAACTGTTATCAAATTTAGATTCAGCTATCGGCTGTCTTTGTACTATCGTATGTTGTAATCATTCTTTATGTTACTCTTACAGGAAGCCTTTGTTATTTTCATTCTTGAACGACGCGTTTAAATGCCTAGATACCTCACAAGTTGATGTTTGTAAAAGGACAGTGGTATTTTTCCTCGCTGAGTAAATTTCATTGTTTTGATCGTTTATTACGTATCAAGACTACTGTTTTTCACTTTAATTGAATTTATTTCAGTTAAAGTATTCGACTAAAGTATCGTTTTTACTGTTTTGTCGTTGGTACTCTTTAGTACCACTTTTTCAACTGTATCTGTTAGTACTTTTGGTCCTAGCAATCTACAGCTCTTCACTTTTTTGGTCATTTATAATTTTTTTGTTTCTGGGTATCATCGCATATTGAAAAAACCCCTCCTAAATGACCGGACAGTGTAAAAAGAGCAGTTGCCAACGTCCGGGTTGTCGTTATCCTGTTGAAAGCGGCATGCAGTGCGACGAGTGCAAAGGCTGGTACCACGAAGTTTGCACGAACTTAACGCCTGCTGCTTTCAAACGGTTCAGTAAGAAGGGTTGTGTGTGGCTTTGTCAACAGTGCTGCTCGGATGCAAACAGCTTGTTAACCGAGGCTATCTCACTGGTTGATGCTGCCAAGAAGTGTTTCAACAAGCATAGTCGGAACGCGTCAAACAGCACTCGATCTGTTGACACGCAAATCAATGTGAAGGAAACTAAGGTGAGTCCGGTGATAGATGACTCACGCCCGTCGAAGAAGGAAAGGCAGTATCCAAAGGAGTCTGCCTTAAAAAAAAGCTCAAGAAAAGCAGGGTCTTCTGTTCCCCGTCTCCTAGATGGGATCCAACAGGAAACACCTAGGAGCCGCAATCGCAAGGCTCGATCGGTTTCGAATGGTAAACATAACACGACCCCTCAGGTCGTCGACAACCCCCCAAAACCCAACACTAGTTTTGACGCAACTGCTATTGCTTCTACCAGCAGCGTTAACGAATGGGTAAAGGTTGTAAGGAAGAAAAGTATTGATATAAAAGGGAAACCTGCCCCCGTAAAAGTGGTTGAAAAATCGAAAGCTGATCATAGCGACAGATCAGCTATTTTTCATAGAATTAAGGAGAGCGATAGCTCTGAACCTAAAGCTCGTTTTGAGCATGACATTGTACTGATTAGGCAGCTGCTTAATCAACTCATGCCTCAAAATATGACTGGGGTCACCTTGCTAAAGGTGTATAGACTAGGGAGTCTAACGGACTCGAAACCAAATCATTCCAGACTGCTTAAAGTAGTATTCGGCTCTTCAAACGAACGTGACCTAATTTTACAAAATGGACACAAATTAAAGGGTTCGGGAGTCTTTATCCGAAAGGACCTACCGTTGGCAGACCGTGTAAAAAGACGGGAAGCCGAGAAAGAACTACAACATAGGTTAGACGCTGGCGAAAAGGACCTGAAAATTGTAAATTTTCGGGTTGTAAGACTTCGACAGAGAATGATGCCGAAGCCACTCTGGGTGAAGCACGAAGGCACCTAAACAGGCTTCGGATCTGTTACACCAATGCACGAAGCTTACTTAATAAGCGATCGGAACTAGGTGTACAGATTGACTCTATAAAGCCAGATATAATCGCAGTAACAGAAACCTGGCTGACACAGGCTATAGATAGTATAGAACTTGATTTCGAGGGCTTTACGTTAGTAAGGGCCGACAGAACACAAAAGCGCAAAGGAGGGGGAGTAGCTCTATTCATTAGGAATGCTATCCCATTTACCATTACCGATAGTGTATCCCATGAGAGTGGGACGTGTGAATTAGTTAGTCTTCGCTTAAAATGCAAGGGACAAGAGCTGCTGATTGGTTTGGTCTATCGCAGTCCAAGCTGTGAGGCAAATGAGATCCTGTTAAGCAGTCTCAATACTTGGTCCCAAAGTGGTCGATGTCTAATCCTAGGGGACTTTAATGCACCAATGGTAGACTGGGAAAATCTGCGAACTGAATCGCCAGAAAATTCCTTTGAGGAGGAACTAGTTGATGCGGTTATCACATGTGCCCTAGTGCAACATGTGAAAGAAGCGACTAGGTACGACCCGGACACTAAATCATCCTTATTAGATCTTATACTGACTCACTAT